ACACGGCTAGCCCGTTTAATTATCGTTTATCCGCTAAACTGCACACCATAGCGCCGTTTACCGTTTAAACAGCGTGTAAACGGTCTAAACGGCCGTTTAGGCGAACACTGCTCCAAATAATAATTATTCAATTTATCTCCTCATGTTTAATATATAATGTCCATTAATTAATTCGATCACTGACAATCAAGAATTAATTAATTTATTATTATTTCACCGAAGCTAGCGCTCGTTCATCACATTATTACTATGCTGGAATTTGATCCACCTGCATGATTTAACACAATAATCCTTCATGAACTCACTCCGGGGACATCATCAAACTAACGCACATGGAGACCGTAAATATCCTAACAGCACATCCTACATGCAACAATATTACCCAAAACAGTGGGTCTATTGGCCCAGTTCACTAAGCCTCACCCATGTGAATCAAAGTAATAAGTACTACACGTATATGCATGTTTAATATCTTACGGGTTAAAAGTACGCAATAATTAATCGAGGTCTAGTCCGTTTACGATGATCAATATAAAACAAACTGCTTCTCCCTAGGATCCTACTCTATACGTAAATGTACTAGTGCAACTAATCAGTCAAGACAAATTGTACGGTTGACACTACAACCATTCACGATGGGGTGTTAATATCCATCTAGGTTGTGAACCATTAATTCTTGTTTCGCGAGTAGCTGATAGTATGATCTTCGGTTCGCCTGATGACGACCCACACTATCTAATGCAAAACAACAGAACGTAGAACTTGTTTAATCTAACATGTTTCTCATTCATAAAGAGTAAAAGTGTAATATCGTCCAAAGCCAAGCTTTCAGTATATAAACTAACACAATGATCATTGTCACCTTATATTTTGTTTTAGGGTGAATAAAACCTAACATAACTTAAAAGTAGCATAATTTTGTTATACATGAACAACAAAAAAATATATTATGATCACCTTATTTGTTTTAAGATTAATATAAACATCAATATTCAAAATTGAATACTTAACGAATTAATCAAAAAATATGAATTAAAGAGAATTTTTGGACTTCAAATCCCTCATATAATCATGGATTACTTACTACTTTAATTTTTTGCCGGAAAAAGATGATTTTTTTGCCGGAGAATGATGAAAATTTGACGTCCAGATCACTTATTTTGCCGGATTTCTTGTCGTCAGAGTTCTTCTCGCCGGATCAAGTGTCGCCGGAGAGATGAACATGCAAGAAAAAAAAAAGTCTTCAGACGGGAAGGGGAAGGTGACGAGGTGGGGAGGGTTTTCGGGGTTATGTGGGAAAAAAAGATAAAAGGAAATAATAAAATAATATAGAATAGTAAAAATAAAATTAATAAAATAATATGGAAAGTTGGTTGATAGTTGGGTTATGTGATTTTTTAATTTATTTTTTTATTTATTTTAGTAGTAAGGAGTTAAGTGGAAGATGATATTTTAGTGTACAGTAAGAACAGACTTATGTATTTAGTTGGGATTTTCTATAGACTTTTTACAGCTTTAAAAATCAGGGTGTATTCAATTTCGATTTGTTAAGACTTTTTAAAATAATTAATAGTCTTGGGGTATTCAATTGAGATTTCAAAAAATTTTACAAAATCTTGAGGTATTTAACTTTGAGACTACAATTTGTTAAAACTTTTTAGGATTTGGTGGGATTTCTAAAAAAAACCTTATACGAAATTCCACTTCAACTCCCACCTCCAAATCCAATATATCACAAAATTCCTCCAAAATCATAAAATCACAAAAATTTTCAAATGTCACTTAAAATCCAAATTGAATACACCCTCTTTAGGGACTGAATACGAAGTTGAAAATTAGTCTAGGGATTTATGCGAAAAAAGTCCAAAATTTAACGGTGTATTCAATTGGGACTTCAAAGTGACATTTTGATACTTTTCAATAAGATTTGAGATTTTTTAAAATTTCAGATTTTGGAGGAATTCTGTGAAATATTAAGTATGTGGATGGGATTTAAAGTGAAAT